CCTAACGTTCTGTGTATCCCCCCCATTATGCTGCTACCCCTAACGTTCTGTGTATCCCCCCCATTATGCTGCTACCCCTAACGTTCTGTGTATCCCCCCAATTATGCTGCTACCAACGTGTTCTGTGTATCCCCCAATTATGCTGCTGTACCCCCACTCCGTTCTGTACCCCCCACTATGCTACCCCCCCTCTACTGCTCCTGTGTATCCCCCATATTATACTGCTACCCCCTAACATTCTTGCAGGTATCCCCTCTCCCAATTATGCTAAGTATACCCCTAACATCTCCTGTGTATCCCCCAATTGCTGCTACCCCTAACATTCTGTGTATCCCCCAACTATGCTGCTACCCCTAACGTTCTGTGTATCCCATTATTCTGCTTCCCCAAACACGCTATGTCCCCCCCACTATTCTGCCCCCATATGCTGTATATCCCCCCATTCTGCTCCCCCTCCCCCATTAGCTAGCTCATTACCTGCGGTGTCCTGGGCAGGCCCTGCCCGCTGCTCCCTGGACTCCCCGGCGGATGAACCCCTCTCTGTCCTGCGGCCCAGCCGGCTGCATAGCCCTCCGGTCCTTTGTGTGGCTCAGGATAGTCTCCCCCCGGGTAGGCCGTGTACCCTCGGCCGGGGCTGGGCGCTGTCAGCAGCTGGTTGAGAGTCGGGGTGGCGGCCGCCGGCTGAGCGGGGCCGAAGCGAGGAGGAGGCGGCGGGTAGGCCGGAGCCGGGGGTTTGCCTGTGGAGGCGGCCGGGCGAGGTGGGGGGTAGCCCGGCGGGTAGGCCCGGTTCGGGTAGGCCGGGTAAGAGTTATAGGCCTCGCTGGGAGGCGGGTAGTCGAGTCCCGGGCCAGGCTGGAAGACTCCCCGGGGGTAAGGGGAAAAGCCGAATCCGCCAGGCGGGTGCGAGGAGGCGGAGGAGGCCGCGGTCGTGTCTCCGGACTCCTGGAGAGAAGACACGGAGGCCGCTCGGGTGCCGTTAGCCGCCTCCGGGGAGTCAGAGTCATTGGAGGCCGGAGCCGGGGCCTCGGTCTGGGTCTCCGGTGGGGGAGGAGGGGGGTCTCCGGGGCTCTTCTTCAGCTCGGGGCCGGCGGCGGGCGGGGTCCCCCCCAAACTGGGGCCGGAGGCTGGGGCCACCTGGGCGGCCATGGAGGGCTCGGAGGAGGTCGGGATGGAGGAGGCCTCCCCCCCCCGGAGGTGTCGGGCTGGGTTCGGGCAGGAGGGGAGGGGGAGCCGCTCAGTCGGACACGAGGCGGTGGAGAGGAGGAGGAGAGGCCATTTTACCGAGAGAGGAGGAGGAGGAGGGACAGGCCGCAAAGCGCGGAGCTGGAGTCCCGGACTGGGGGAGGAACAGGCCACAAAACCCGGTCACTGGCGCCAACAAGAATCCGGGCTGCTCGGCTTCCTGCGCTGGGGGGAGACACGGGGAAAGCGGCGGACTGGAGCGCGGAGCGGGTCACACTGAGCGGATCGATCGCTCACACAGGGCCGGCAAAACCCGGAACTAGAGCCCACACAGGAACTGGAGCCGGATCCTCTGACCGGGCACAAGGGGAAATAAAGTCAAAGGGACTGGCAGGCAACCAAGGCTAGCAGCGACTAGTGGGCGCAAACCCCGGATACTGGATCCGTGCTGGAGCGGGGGCCGCAGTGCATGGTTCTCATAATAGGGAGTGCATGGCCCATGGTGAGTCTTTCACACGGGGATGGCAGATGGAAAACCCGGAGCTGGGGCAGCGTGTCACACTGGGCTGGGAGAAGGCGGATTACAGCTAGGAACTGGGTACAGGCTCGGACAGGCGCTGTCTCACATGAACTGTGAGAACGGTGGGTAAAGCCCGGCACTGTATCCGCCGGAGCTGGATCCGTTTCTGCTACAAGCTGGGGAAAACCCGGAGACTGGAGCAGGGCAGGTGCATGGTTACACACACACACACACACACACAAAAAGGGGATTAGGGGCCGGCGCTGGTTCACACAGAATGAGCTTTCATCCTCCCATAGGCTTAAAACAAGGAGAGGCAGAGTAAGGGCTGTAAGACCCGGAGCTGGATCACCGGGCCGGAGCTATGTAACGTGCCAGCAGAGGGTGACATGGAACACGAGGCCGGGCAGTAAGACCCGGGGCGGAGCGCGGGAAAGCTGAAGGGATGCCTATCACGTGACCACGGAGGGCGTTCTAAGAGCGTGGTAACGTCACAAGGCGTGTGCGTCCGGCGCTGAGCTCATTGTGCTGCCAAGTAACGTGCGGGTCACATGGCTGGCGCTGTGCATGCATGTACATATATGTTACCATGTTTACATGCATGCTCCGGCTGTGCACGGCTTTTTTTTAATTTTATTTTTTATGGGATTTATTTATTTTTTTACAAAAAAAAAAACTTTGCAGTGTTACTACGAGAAACATCAAATTTCGAAAATAAAATAAAAAGTATATTGTCAAATATGTAACATAGTGTACATGTATGTAGCAACTGGCATGAGTGTAAACCCATACACATGTTGTGTATGTCCCAGTGAGGCTGTATGTACACACAGCCTGGTGCTGGTTAGAGCTCACCATGACAGAGGGGAAGGGGCACAAAGAACAGCCTGGAGTAATGGATAGGGGGAGGGGTGCTCATTCTGTTAGCAGGACTCTGAGTCCTGGCTTCATACACAGGATCACTGAGAGATCTGAATTGACCACAATGCACTGGGGTTTAAATGGGCTGCTAGCAAAACCAGGGTAGGATTAGAGAGGGAGCTGGAGGAGGGGGTGGGGGGAGGTAACATGGGCTGGAGACAAAGGAGGGAGGAAACTACCTTCTGGAGACACTGTGTTTATATACATACAACTGAAATGTGTCGCACAGCTCGCATGTTTCCAGCAGAAAGAGTTTTGTGCTTCATAAATATAGGATGATTCATCTGAAAGTCTCACAGCCAAAATGTGTGAATAGGCAAACTATGTATGCATTTATACATTTAGATTAATGATAACATCCTTCACAAATGCCTAAATTCGTTGCATAAATATTGGAGAAATGCTTTATCATATTATCTCTCCCAAGATATATGTATTAGAACTCACAGATTTTAGTGAGATCTGCAGAAGCTCAACCTTGTGAGAACATTTCATACATTCATATATTATACTTTACACTAAAATACCCCACTGAGAGGGGAGGGTGCAATCACTTTTTAGCACATGGCATCTATCTGAGAAAGAAACATCCTGCAGCATGTCAATTCAGAGTCTTATATAACCAGTGAAGCCACAGAATAAAGGAAACTGCAAATCCTAGTCACACATTTCAGCATAAATATAATGTAGTTTCTGAGGTGCATGTACTCGTTGTTAACATTAGAGTACAACTAGTAGTTTTATTTGTAGAATTAATTAGTCAAAAATGTAGCAATAGTTTATTTGCAGGTATCATCAGAACAACATTACTACCCCATTGTTCATGTGTCAGAATAGAGAGATAAGACACACTACAATAGAGAGGTAAGACACAGTTGCATGGGGTCCAGGTCTAAATGTAAATATAGATCTTGAAAACTACAGGATGGGGGTTGAAACATTGATCAGGTAACCATGATGTAACTTTGCTTGCACAATAAAACCAGAGCAGCAAGTTCACTGCAAATGTTATGAGATTGCATCTTTTGTATGTATGTATATATTTAGTTTTGGGTTTTTTAAATGCATGGATCGCAATCAGTCAAAGTCTTTAAACCTAATTTATATTTAATACTTAGGTTTTTGTGTATATATAGCGTGAGTGTATATTTATATATATATACATAAAGCTGCAAGTAATGAGGATCAAAGAGCTCCCTCCCTGGGCTATTGCAAGTGTGTATGGCGGGGAGACCAGGACATTCTCAGCCTTCACATCCACCTAGTCCTCTCCCACAAGCCCCGACTGTCAGACCGTTGGCCATGGCTTACCACAGGAATACCACATAGTGCTGGAACTCACAAGAAGAACCTTAACACAGTGAAGGTCACGGCTGAGAGTGTCTAAGTTCCACCAGAGATTTTTGTGTGACTCATGTTCCCCAACCCTGGCCCGAGATAAGAAGCAGTAAGGGGGAGATTATTTAAAAAAATATAATATATATATCTATATCTATCGATCTGATATCTCTCTAAAGAACAAAGCCTCTGTCCTACCCCACAAATTTACACACACGTCCATCCAATACACCACATTCCATACATATACTGTATCCACTATACATATATGCTGCATTATACATAAACATACTGCATCCCCTACATACACATTTTCTCTCACACACACTCACCGCATCCCCTACTAGATTCCCTATATGCATACACTCCATTCCCTAAACACGCACATTACATTATTTACAAACACACACTAGACTTTCCCTTACATGCATTTCCTATACTGACACATGCTACAGCCCCTATACATACACACTTACTACTTCCCTTATAACCACATGCAATATATGCCCTACAGTACACTAACACACAATACATCCTGACCCGTGATAAAGGGGCAGAACAACTACAGCTCTAAGTGCCTGCGCGAGCAGGCAATGAAATGAGGGGAGGCCCCTGTAGGTGGTCTCAGGGGTTGATCCTTAAGCTACATAAGAGACCCAAACATTTCTGATGGTAACCCTGTTGCCACGGCTTGAGAAATATCCATTGTGGACAAAGACCTTTCCTTTGTTTGATAGTAAATAAATCTATAGAATAGCATTCTAACTGGGGTGCTGAGAATTGTTACGGTGTTTGGCCACACATGCATTCCATAAGTGTATGGTATAAGCAACATCCTCTGTGATTGGTCTCAAAGAGTAAAACGGGGCTGTCATGTGTATATATACGATGGAGTACCTTTAATCGTACTAGTAACAACATTGCTTTAAACCTGGCTACAATGGTATTGGGATTAGAGCACCTGCAAATATTCACATATCTTTAGACTTCAGTCCAAATCTGGCTTTCTGTCAGTTATATGCACTAACTCTGGAGAGAGTACGCTCTCTGTGCTGGAAATAGATTTCTAGGGGCCGAGTTCCAAGGATAAATGATTTAACAGGCTGGGTATTTTTGCAATATTACCACTATAGCAATAATGGATATGAATTAAAAGGTTTCATTATAATCATGTCATTTCTTTATATGTTATCCGAAGTATATTATCTAGTTATAAAAAAAGATTTTTGTCACTCCTGCTGGTGGTATACAGGACCCGGTCGTATAACTGTCACAAACTTACCTTTCACTGGCACCCATGCCGCTTCCCTCCTCGGGCCATGCAGGCAGAACGCACTACGTGGCTGCATTGCCTCGGGACGCTGCATGAATAGGATGCTTACCTTTGCTCCCGCGAACTAACTGCAACCCCTAAAAATAAAATATAAATCCATGACGTCATTACATTAAATGGACCACGTCCTCTAGGCCAGGGGTTCCCAACCCAGTCCTCGAGTAGCCCCTACCAGTACAAAATTTAGGGATTACCCTGTTGTGTCTAAAGTGTTTTTTGCTTTTTTTCTAAAAACACCTTAGACACAACAGGGCAATCCCATCTATGCCTACCCAGCCTGTGCCTGTTGTGATTGAAGCTGCTGGTCAGAACAGTATGACTACCAGCTTGACACCACCTCCTAGATATGGTGGAAATCCTAAGACCTGTTGAGGGTTTAGAAACCAAAAAGAGTTTCACTTTGAAGCATTTTCCCACTGAAAGGTCCAAGGTCAGTTTCTTTATGCATCACCTAACCGACAAGGCCTTGGAATGGGCCAATCGTTTATGGGTGGCAAACAAGGACTTGGTTTATGATTACAAGACCTTTGTAAGAGCCTTCCGTAAAGTGTTTGATCCACCTGGCAGAGACAAGAGTGCAGCTAAATCTCTAATGAGGATTAAGAAGGGAACCAGATCCATAGCAGATTAGGCTATTAGTTTCCACACTCTTGCCTCCGAGGTGGATTGAACCAATAGTGGTTGGTTTCTGCATTTATGGAAGGGGTTAATGATAACATCCTGGATGAGTTGGCAGCCAGAGATCTTCCAGTCCTGCTAGAAGACTTTATTGATTATCTAATCGACATCGATAATCGGCTAAGGGAAAGAGCCCAACAGAGAACTCATGTTAGACATCCTACTGTTACTATAAACCCTATGGCCTCGGTTCCTGATGTTACTTAATCTACAGATACTGAGCCCATGAAACTAGGGGTGACCAAATTGTCTGAGGCAGAGAAACAGTATAGGAGAAAAGAGGGGCTCTGCCTATATTATGGCCAGGAGGGCCTTAGATTGACTTGTCCGGTGCGTCCAGAAAACTGTCGTACCTAAGGTCGTTCAGGGGACCAGCCTTGGGTGTGACATCAGAATCCCCTATTCTGTCTCATAAAAGGCTTACTCCTCCCTATCACCTTAACTTGGGGAGAAAAGTCTATAGACGTTCTAGTGTTCTTCGATTCTGGAGCAGCTGATAACTTTATAGACAGGGGTTTTGTCAGGACCCATTTACCATCCCTAAGAAAGAAGGAGACACCCTTGGCCATTGAGGCCATAGATGGTAGACCTTTATATTTTCCATTAATCATTTATGAGACAGAACGATTGACTATGCGTTCTGGTCTGTTATACACACAGAATATATGTTTTCAGGTGATAACCTCTCCTTCTTCCTCAATAGTACTGGGTTATCCATGGTTATGTCTGCATAACCCCACTATTGCCTGGAGACAGGGAGAGATCATATCATATATATTTGTCAGGAGAGATGCGTAAAAAAAGGTTACACCTGTTCATAGTGTTAATGTACTTACTGTTCCACCACTGTTTACAGACATACCCTCCTCTTACATGCACCTTAAGGCGGTGTTTGATAAGAGGGAAGCAGAAATATTACCACCTCATAGGCCTTATGATTATACCATAGAACTCCTACCAGGTACTGTGCCACCCAAAGGAAGAGTTCATCCTTTGTCCGTCCAGGAGAGTACTGTTATGAAGGAGTATAATAGTGAATCTTTGGCAAAGGGCTTTAATGTAAATCTTCCTCTCCGGCTGGGGCTGGTTTATTTTTTGCATCCAAAAAAGAGCGAGATCTATGCCCTTGTATAGACTATAGAGGGTTAAACAAAATAACAATAACAAAATGCCCTGTTCCCCTTATCAGAGAGCTTTTTGACAGGTTAAAGGGGGCTTCTGTCTATACCAAGCTGGATCTGAGTGGTGCATACAACTCGGTAAGCATAAAAGAGGGGCATGAGTAGAAAACAGCCTTTAACACTAGAAGCGGGCATTATGAATATGCAGTAATGCCTTTCGGCCTATGTAATGCTCTAGGGGTTTTCCAAGATTTCATCAATGATGTCCTCAGGGACTTCCTACTTTCGTTCGTGATAGTGTACTTGGACGATATTTTAATATATTCCCCTAACCTGGATACACATCATTTATATTTTTCTGAGGTTTTACAAACACTTCTCGACAATGGTCTGTATTATATGCTGGAGAAGTGTTTGTTGATCAAGCTGAAGTCCATTTCTTGGGTTATGTTATCTTGGCATCTGGATTCAGTATGGATCCCAAGAAATTGTCAGCTGTTGTTAAATGGCCTTTGCCTCAGGGATTAAAACCTATCCAGAGGTTCATAGGGTTTGCAAACTATTATAGGCGGTTTATTAAAAACTTCACTACTGTTATAGCCCCTATCACGAACCTCACTAAGAAGGCTGCCCACCACTATGCTTGGCCTCCTGAGGCAAGGGAAGCCTTTGAGAGCCTGAAGAGAGCTTTTGTTTCCGCTCCAATCCTCAGACATCCTGACCCTTCACTTTCTTTTATATTGGAAGTAGATGCTTCTGAGGTAGTAGTAGGAGCTAATCTTTCCCAGCGCTTGTCCCCTGACCAACCTTTACACCCATGTGGTTTCTTCTCTAGGAAACTTACACAGGTGGAACAAAGCTATAATATTGGCAATAGAGAACTATTGGCCATTATCATAGCCTTGAAGGAGTGGAGACATCTCCTAGAAGGTTCGAAAAATCACATAATGGTGCTAACGGATCCTAAGAATCTTCTGTACCTCAGAGGCTAAAAGGTTGAATTCTAGACAGGCAAGATGGTCTCTCTTCCTCTCCATATTTAATTTTTTAATTACTTATAGACCTGGACAACACAATGCCAAAGCCGTCCAGGCAGTTCGAGGAGAGACCAGAGGAATGTTACATCATTCCCCCGGAAAGAATCTTAGCTACAACAGTTCTTTCTGTATCCTCTTCGCTGTTAAGTCACATCATATCTACCCAATCTGAGTCCCTTGAAAGCATGCCTAACGATAAATTGTTTGTTTCCCCTACTGTCAGTCAGGAAGTTATGTCTTTATGTCATGACAGAAAACCCGCCAGGACCCCTGGAATAACCAAGACTACTAACCTTGTAGCTCTAGAAGTCTGGTGGCCTTCTCTAAAGAGGGATATCAAAGACTTTGTGCTTGCTTGTGACAAATGTGCAGCTAACAAGACAATTCACAGGGTACCATGTAGATTGCTCCAACCTTTACCATACTGTCATACTTGTGGTCGTAGATAGGTTTTCTAAGATGGAACATTTCATACCCCTGAGGAAACGCCCCTTCTCTGCTGAATTAGCTACTCTGTGCTGGGTAGACCTGGTGTGGGGCTGATGGTAGGCGGTAATACCCCCCAGTGGGGTCAGGGATAACCCCCCGGACCAAGGGGGGAAGCGGGGCCCACAAGGCATTTTGCAAGGTCGCTGCACGGATGTCTGGCTCACAAACAGGACGGCGGCTGTCTGTCCCGATCTTCACCTTCACAGCCCACAGGCCCCAAAGCCTCGTATCACCCCCATGGGCTCCGAAACTCCAGATCTCGGGGACCGCAGCGCCACCGGTAGCTTTCTGGATACGTGGGGTATCTCCTGGGCTCCAATGTAGGTAGGAGACTTAGGTATTTTGCCCTTGGAGAATAAATTGTGCAGGAGCCTCTTCCACCCGCGACCGGTCAGCATGGCGGTTGGGCCCTGCCCCCTATCTAGATTTTACCCTACAATAGAAGATAAATAAGCAGATGTACAATTAAAATCTCCTTTTGATGTAGCCTGTTTCTCGACTCTTTTGAAATACCCTCTTTTTAACAATATAGGACTGAAACGTTGATCTTTACTCGATATGCTGCAATATGCTTCATACAAAGCAATATATTTTCTTCAAAGAAGCCTGACAACTGCTTTCCTTGCTTTTTGTTTTATTTATTTAGTTCTTGCAAAGAGGCAAGGAAATTTGGAGATGTTAAGTGCAGAGCTATAAAAATATATATGTATATTTACACACACACTCAAGTCCATGTACCTTGGGGAGAAGGGGGATACAGTGCTACCTGATGCCGTCTTTTTAGAGATTAAACACCAGTCAGAGCCTCTTTCTCATGACTCATACGTCACTCATCGAACCTGGTAATGGGCAGTGTATTTACTCTTCCACAATTTGAGGAGCTGGAGGCATGCAGAAGATGAAGGGGGGTTGACATGGTAGGGGTGAGTGGAATTAATGTATCAGGGATCACAATTTCAGGTCTTAAGCCGCGAGCCAAGGTATGCAAGTGACTCACCCTCGCAAAGGTGACTTTTGTCACATTTTCTATTTTCACAGTGTGCTTACTGTCACAACACATTAGAATACTCAAAAGACACAAGGTAACAATCCAGGGAGTGATAGTTAGGCATATTAAAGATCCTTGGAGTGACCAGGCTTAACACTAAGTAGGAACTAGGAAGTAACAGAACTTTAGTATGAATTTATTCAAACTATTAGGAGAACAAAACAAACACAAACTGCAATGACAAACAGTAATACTAAGCTACCACAGTATCACTGGAAACCTGAGATCTAAAACAAGCCAGGTCTGGTACACATACAGAAACAGGAATATATCATGGTCAAACGTAGCTGGAACAGGACAAGTCATGGTGAAACATAGGTCTTGTACACCGGGATAATACTTGAAAAAGCAGGGTCAATCACAAGAATGAAGAACATTATTAACAAGCTTAGAACTCAGAGACCACAAAAATCACCAAACCATTTGTAGGCCCTGGTCTTATTTTCAATTTAGCATCACTGATCCATGCACAGAGAGTCCAAGAGGATGCCAATCAACTAAAATAAGAAAAGGCCAAAAGCCTGCGGGTCACATCATGTTTGGTTAGTTTTAGTACTATGCGAGTGCAAGCTGGTGCAGACAATGTTACATCCAAATTAACGTAGCTGAGCATCTGAAGTTGACATGTCTTTATGCAATCTGGTGCTTCTTATCAGTGCTTGTACAGACACGATGTAGATGAGACAGAGCGAGATGAAATTTTAAGAATATCATCTTTTTTGGGTCATGATTTATTGTTTGACACAGAGCGTCAGATCTGGATGGAAAGCACAAGGACTGTTGTTGAATTGAGAGAGAAGCGTTATTAGAGGTAGGTTTCCTTCTTTATCCCCCCACTGGGTGATTCCTTTTAGGTTTCGAATGGAAAAGATTATGAAAGTTTTTGTTAGGAGCTTGGCACGGACATCATTGGCACAGGTACATGATCTCTTCTCTGGTCCACACCCTTTACAGTGCACCACATACTTTAGCCTGCCTCTAGAGATACATGGGTGAATCATTTGGACTTTACTTTCCTGATGACTGTCAACTAATGTAGAAGCTGGAACAGTAGAAAGAAGAAGAAAATCTGTTACAGATCATGGTTTTAAAAGGGACATGGCAGGTATTGAGTAGAAGAAGGCTCTTGGGCAAGGCCAGGGTGTAAGCCACTGGGTTTTCCCAACAAGTAATGCAATATAGTCGGATGTAATTGGGGGCTAGTTTGGGATACACAACTTGCAGTATAATGGTCTGAGTGGACAGCCAGACTCTGCCCCCAACCTGGAATGAAGGTGCATTCAGCTGGTCTCTTTTGGATCAGTATCAGTATCAGTAATTGCACCCCTGGGCACCCTACTTCAGCCAGATGGTCATTCACGGCAGGGACCCCAGACAACCTGTAGGAGGAAATCCTTCATTCGCCATAAATAAAGCATAATAATCACAATTGCCATTATTCCTGAAGAACTCAGCCAAAGGCAGCAATTAAGCCCAATCTTCCTGGTTCTTAAAAAGCAGCCGGGGCACTGCTCCAGAGACTATTTGATCTTTTAAAGGCACAATTAGATTGTTTCACAGTATCTGTGTCTTTGACGCCAACTATGCATTATTTGTTGGTGCTGCCTTCACTTAATTTCTGGCACCATGCATCATTCCCTGTTCATAATCAGCATAAAGATGCAGAACGCCGCCTTCACACTCCAATTTATGATGCCACTAAACCTCACTTCAAAAATGACACTAGCGTTCCTGTATAATTTGTGATACAGATGTTGCAAATCTTGGCATCACAAGAATGATGCTGACTAGTAGGAGGGTGTTATCTGGAATTGAATTTGCTCTGTTTCTTGTGTGTACTTCTGTAATCCAGAACTGGTTAGTTTACACAATATTCCGTATACTTCTGTTATCCTGACCTTGGCTTGTTCTCCTGTTTGTACCTTTTCTCTTTGCCTGCCCAGCCGCTCTAAGGTCTGGTAATACAATCTGTGCTACCTCTGTACTCTCTGACCTAAACTCTGCGTGTAGCTCATTTAGCACTAGCACTATTTAATTTGTCTCTCACGTTTGAATTAGTGTAGGACCCACCGATATTGGGATACTGTGAAGTAGAGGTGGGCTTATGGTGGAACTGAAAATGTAAATCTGTATATTGTATACATTTTGGTCTCTCATTGCTGAGAAATACACGTTCCCGGTGTGCCCCCAATTCACATTTTCTCGTCAATAAAGTTTAAGTCTATCCGTAACAAATAGAGACTCTGTTACAAACTAGTATGACGGGAAGGAGTCTGGATTACATAGAGGAAAAAGCGTATAGACTCCAGGCCTGTCCCCTGAATGGACTTAGGTGAAACCTCAGACATGAGGCTCTGAGATGCTCCTTCATCCCACAACACATACTGAAACCTTCCCTCCTATGTTATTGATTTTAGCATCTATAAGCCTTTTTAGGCCAAGCTGCATTGGTTTTATTCTCAGAGAGGCCCAAATAGTGTAATATTGGCAAAACTTTAATTCACTATAAATAGTTAAAAACTCACTATAAACAATAAATAAAATGCTTACATTTCATTGCCTCTTCCCCGCTCTGTTCTCTGTGTCATATATCATGCTTTATAAATCACAAATATTAAATTAATGTAAAAAAACTTTTATTTTGAAAAATAATTTGTTCATGTGAATAAATTTAATTATAATAATTAAAATTTGTACACATAATAAAATAGTGTTAATGTAGACTAATAATCCTACAAATCCATTATACATTTAAACATTTCTGTAATTTCTTTTTGAACACCTATAACAACCTGTAAAGGTTTCTTATTGGCATATAGCAAGCATGTATTAGAAACATAATTTTGATATGATCCTGCTTATAAAAAAAATGAAAAAAAACTTAATTAGTAACGAAATATAAAAAATAAAGTGGTTATGAGGAATCTCAGAGATACTCAAATCAGCTATCGCTTTGGACTGGCACTCGCTCTCTCATTCATGAAAGAAGGCACCTTGCAACCAGGGCTGGACTTAGGATAGAAAGCAGCCCTGGAAAAAAATCTATGCCAGCCCCATAAGTCATTGTGCTATGGAGTGTGTGTTTTAATATATATATATATATATATATATATACACACAATACACAAGATCCAGCGCACTCACCTATCCACTAAACAGCAACTTCAATGTTGAAAGATTTTATTTGTTTTTTTTAAAACACCTAATCTAGGCAAAAATAATGGGGGTTTAGTTACATTATATGATCATACATTGCATAAGCCTGCCACAACGTCAATGTACCCCATCTTTGGCAGGTCCTATACTAACAGCCTAATGTCTGCTCTTATGAGATTAACCTACTTGGGAAAAAAATTCCATCTGGGGCTCTCTGCAGTACAAGGCTAAATAGGGCCCTGGGATGAGGCACCTGTGACAGGGAGGGGTGCAAAACCAAGGAGTTGGCTAGACTCCCAAATATATATAAAACAAGAGGGGGTTGGCTGCACTCACCTTAACATGCATAAATGGGGGTGCTGCTGGGGGCCAAATAATACAATACACAAGATCCAGCGCACTCACCTATCCACTAAACAGCAACTTCAATGTTGAAAGATTTTATTTGTTTTTTTAAAAACACCTAATCTAGGCAAAAATAATGGGGTTTAGTTACATTATATGATCATACATTGCATAAGCCTGCCACAACGTCAATGTACCCCATCTTTGGCAGGTCCTATACTGCCAAAGATGGGGTGTTTTTAAAAAAACAAATAAAATCTTTCAACATTGAAGTTGCTGTTTAGTGGATAGGTGAGTGCGCTGGATCTTGTGTATTGTATTATTTGGCCCCCAGCAGCACCCCCATTTATGCATGTTAAAGTGAGTGCAGCCAACCCCCTCTTGTTTTATATATATATTTATATATATATATATATATATATATAATATTGTCATATTTCTTTTTCTAATTCAAAATATTAGTCCTTTCAGGGTAATTAAATTATAAAGAAAAGCATACTCACATGCAGACACAGACAATCTTAATGACACAAGCTCATTAATACACAGGCTCACAGACAATCTCATTGATATACATAAACTTATGGACATAAAAACACGAGCTCACTGATGCACACAAATAGGCTCATTGACGGACAATCTCAATGACACACACAGACAAGCTTATTGGTACACACACTCAAATTTAGTACAGACCAACTCTGATACACACAAGCTTACTACAGACAAGCTCACTGTCACACACACGTTCACTACAGACAAGCTCACTGACGCGCACACACTCTCACTACAGACAAGTCCATTGACACACACATGCTCCCTACAGAAGAACTCACTAACATACAGATT